GGTTGGAGACTGATTGAATTATAACAGGATGGCAGGCCGACGGGCTTTCTTTTAAATATTATGGTTTGATATTATCCTCAACTGATTCATATGAAACTGATTGAGAGTTATGAGGAGATGATTACAATATCGACGGGCAAAAAGTTATGACTCTATTTATCGAGCCAATGATTTTTTCTAATACTGATATAATATTGAAAAATATCGTGATAGTCAGGACTTCTAACTTGTTCAATATGATTACTGAAATACATGTTCTCGAGGCATTATTCTTATTATTATTATACATATTTTTTATTATTATACAGATTTACTATTATTGCACCATTTTATTACTCCTGTCACTAGATTGTTATTGTTACTGATATATAGATACTGATACTATTTAATTTTATTTATTCATTATATTGATGTTAAGCATATGATATACTGAGCACATGATATAGAATGTCTGGATAACATGTGTATACTTTTATATGATTTATTATTTTAACAGAATTTTGCTAGTCTTTACCGATATTTTGATATGATATTTTATATTATTTCTTTACTAATTGGTATTATGGATATGACGATTGCTTTATAGATTTAATACTTACTAGTTTACAACTTTTTTAGATTCCATTCCGTAATGCTTTATTGTTTATAGATTCTATTGCTACTATATATGAATTTTATTGTTTATGCATTGATTCAATGATCATATGAATGCAACTGCTATGATTTAATAGTTGATATGCATATTACTCATTTTACTATGATTTGAATTCAATTATAGATTTTAGTAACATTTTGGGCTTTTTAAGTTCATTATATGTGATTAAATGATTTCAGGGTAGGGGAGCAGGGGTGTGAGGTTGGTTAGGATTCTTCAGGTTTTATTTCTTTTTGTTCTAGTCCTGAATAGTGTATATGATTTTTAAAAATGAATATGAATGTGTATATTAATGTTTTTAATTATAGAATCTGTTCTACTTGTTTATTACTGATAAATGATATTTAATAGCTCTGGTTGTTGTATATTAAAAGATTAAAAGAATAACTCTTTCAAATTAGATTATGGGACATCACATCTTATGTTTCTTTCATTCCTATTTTTCTACTAACAAATTGATTCATGGATCTTTTATGGTCGGCTCTTCTTCTTCCTTCCTTATTATAGTTGTATATGCTTTTAATTCTCCTATTGATAAATTAAACATGGAATGATATTCTAAATTTGGCTGCTAGCATTTCCTCTCCATGGGTTTTGTTGGATGATTTTAATTGTTGTAGATTCTTAGAGGAGAAATCTTGGAGGAATATCATTCCTAATTGTAAGTTATATGACTTTAACAATCTTATTTTCATTATTGGTGTTCAAGATATTTCATATGTTGGGTATCTTGGCTCTTGGTTTAATTAGATGAGTGATTTTCGTAGTCATATTAAGCTTGATATGGTATTAGTGAATGGTCTTTGGTTGAATTCTTTTCCGACCTCTTTTTATTATGAGAATAAGCCTAGATTCTCTGATCACTCCTCTCTTATTCTTTCTAATAATAAAAAGGATAATTTTAGGCATAGATTCATTTTTAATTAAAATTTTTGGGTATAATAAGCCTTAGTTTTGGGATATACTTATTGATATTTTTTTACTGCTCTAGTTGGTAGCCATATAAGTGGTCTCTATTCCAGTTTGCATAAGCTTAAAGGTAGAATTAAGGCTCAGCCTTGGGTCTCCTCTAAATTTTTTTTGCCTCTATAAATGATCTGCACCTAAAATAAGATTTTTCGTTGTAGCGAATCCAATGTTCTCCTAATGATCATCAACTTAATGATTCTTTAAAGAAGGCGAATTCTCTCCTTAATTATAATATGTCCTCATAGGCCGTTCAATTATTCAGAGATCTAAAGCTAGATGGATTACTTGTGGAGAAGATAATTTTAGTTTTTTCTACTCAAAAATTTGTTGCAGTCAATATATAAACAAAATTAAGGCCATTTCTACTACTAAGGGGGTGGTATCAAATCCTAAAGGCATTTATGCTACTTTTATTTAGCATTTTAAAAGGTTTTTTAATTCTCCAAAGCATGTTCTTTTAGCCTCTAATTATATTCCTGATGGTAGAGTTATTCCTACATAACTTTTCATTCCTTAACATCTCATATTTCTATATAAGAAATTAAGATGGTCCTTTTTGCTCCTTCCTCTTTTGCCTCATAACCATATGGTTTTACTTTTGAATTCTTTAAGAATTCTTGGGAGATTGTTGGTTATGTTTTCTGCAAAGCTATTTTGCACTTTTTTTCTTCTTGTCAAATTCCTAGGGTTGCAAAAGCTTCTGCTATTTCTCTTATTCCTAAAAGTTGTCATGCTTCACTAATTACTAATTATAGGCCTATTTCTTCATGCAATATTTTTTATAGAATTGTGGATAAAATCTTGACCAATCATATGCAATATATTATGCCTTATTGTTATTCATCCTAGTTAGGTTGGGTTTATTAAAAAAAGTATTTATTGTGATAATATTTTACTAGCTTATGAACTATTAAGGGACTTTAATTATATGGCTAAAGATACATATTTTTGTGCAAAGCTTGATGTTTTATATGGCCTTTGATACAATTTCTAGAGATCTTATTTTATATAGGATGACTTATAAAGGTTTTCCTAACCTCTTCGTTTCTTGGATTAAGGGTTGTATTGAGGAAACTTTTTTCTATGTTTCTTTTAATGGTACTTTAGATGATTTTTTCAGTTCATCCTCAGGTCTTCGACAAGGACGTCCCCTTTCTCCATATTTATTTTGCATTGTTATGAACACCTTATCTGATTTGCTAGATGATAAGTTCTTTGTTGTTCATTTTGAGGGTATGGAGGTTGGTGACAAATATATTTCTCACCTACTTTATGCATATGATATCCTAGTTTTGGTAAAACCTCTATGCTTAATGCTGAGAGGTTAAAGTAAATATAGAAGCATTTTTTTATTTATTTTGGTCTTTTTGTTTATCACAATAAAAGTTTGGCTATCTTCTCCAACGGTGCTCATGAAGCTGATATTATTTATCATTTTTTGAATATATCAATTTCTCATAACACTTTGAAATATCTTGGTTTACCTATTTTACTAAAAGGCTTACTTTTTCTGATTTTCAACCATTGCTAAATTGAATAACTGATTTGCTACATGGGTGCAAAGCTAAGATCTTATCTTTTGCTGGTAGACTACAATTTCCCAAGTTTTCTATTCGTAATACTATGTTTTATTGGATTAGGGTCTTATTCTTCTTAAATATTGTGGCAAGTTTATTAGGAAGGTTTGTTCTAATTTTTTGTTTCATGTTGCTGCTAATAATTTGATTGCTCGGAAAGATGTTTGTCGACCCAAGAGGTTTGGGGGTCCTGGTATTCCTGATCTTAATTCTTTAAACTATGCTTTTAGTTGTTCTCTTATATGATGTATTTTAAATGATCATTATATGCTAGCTAGTTGGGTTAAGCACAAGTTTATTTCTCTTTGGAAGCCTCGCCCTCCTAACACCTAAGGCTTCTGCTTTTTGGAAATATATTAAAAACAAGATCTCTTTCATTATTCATCCTAATAGCTCTATTTCCTTCTATTAGGACCCTTGGTGTGGGGGTATAACTTTAAATTAGATGATGTATTCTAATTGTTGCTCTTCTCTTCATTCTACCTCGATTGGTAATTTGATAACAATTGGTTGCTGAAATTTGCTAGATATTTTGCTTCTTTGGTTTCATAAGCAGTCTCTTCCATTTTTATTTCTATTTCTTATCAATCTGATTCTTGTACCACTTGGGGTGATGTGCTTTTCCTACCTTTTAAGATTTTTCATGCCGCTTTTTATGATGGTTTAACACAAATAAAATGATGCTATTTTATCTGGCATAAAAAATTTGCTTTGCATTTTTTGTGTTATGCTTGGATGGTACAGTTAAAAGGGTTAAAAATGACAGATATTATTTCTAAAAGAATTTAAATGTTCCACTCACATGTGTTTTATGTGCTAAAGCTGAGGAGGATCATAATCACTTATTTTTTTAGTGTGATTTTTTTATTCTTCATTATTTCTAATTTGGTGCCATGATTAAATTCCTTTATTCTTAGGCTAACTCTTCTTTAAGTGTTAGATTTTAATTGTGTATGAACTTTGGAAAAGGATGCAAGAAGTTTATTTATTTATTTATTACTTGTTACTCTTTATATTTCATATGGAAAGAAATGAACAACAGAAAATTTACTGGAAACATTAACTGTGCAATAACTGTTGGTAGGCTAATTAAGAAGATTGTCTGGCTAAAATTTCATCATAGAGATCTTATCATGTTAGTAAGCACTTGGTTAAGTGAGGATTGTATTTGGTGTTGCTTGGCTAGAGTGGGTTCTCAACTGGAGTATTTTTCTTTTGTTGTTGTTTTTTTTTTTTTTTTGATATGTTTGTTGGATCTATGCTGTGTTGGCCTTTTTAGTTTGTTTCATATTGAAGTTTGTGCTATTTTTATGGATTGGCTACTAGGGAGAAGGGATTATGATGAATGTGTCTCATTCGATTGTCCCTTGGAAGGTTGACCCGACAACCAGTTTTCATATTTGGATGGTTGTTTCTAGCAACCAAGGGCATGGTGCTTCTACTATAGTTCTTATCTCTTAGATGGTTGGCTCGACTGCCATTAGTGATATGGATGGCTATTTTCAGCAATTCAAGGGATTTTGCTCGCTTATGTGATATTATCTGATACCTAGTATGGATATTGACCTTTATGAGTTCCTTATATTTTGGGGTTCTTAGTTTTTCTATTTTTAGTTATTGATGTTTTTTACTTTTTAAGCTTTTTGCTTAAGATCTTTTTAAAAGAATCTATTTTTTTTTTTTACCTTTTTACTGTAATTTTGCATTAATTAATGAAAATGGGACATAATTGCTTTTAATTTGTCTACAAAATAAATAAATTCTCAACCATATTTTTCAATAAAAAAGCAGCTGGATTTTATCAATTTGCTAAAAATAAAGAACCGGTGAGAATTGCCGGAATTGCCGGTGATATTTCGGGTGCCCTCATTGCATTGTCCATTCTCCGGCGACTCCCTTCACACCTTCAAAATCTCAGTCCTGTCAGTGAAGAGTTTATTCTTCCCATTCGTCCGCACGTAAAATTCCAAGCCTTCGAAAACCTTATTAACAGAGAGATGAGCGGGTTACCTGGAGATCCGGTGGATGTATTGGAGCTCGAGGCCACCATGCACGCCGTAGAGCATGCTTGCTCTTTGATCAGGGTATATTTTCTTAACCTTTTTTACTTTCTCTTAGTTTCTTTACCGGGATGATATCTATATTTGCTGATCTTTTTTTTTTTTTTGGTTTTAGTTGTTTTTTTTTGTTTATAGGATTTGTGGATGGTTTATGATTTGAATCAAACCATGGAATTTGTGTTATGTTTGATGTTATGCTTATTATTTCATTTACTGATTCTCAGGAATCTGGATGTTTTCTTTGTATTTGTTCTGCTCGCATTGCATCGTTTTTATTATTTTAGCAAAGCACGCAGCCTTATTCCAGTTGTTTTTCCTTTTTTTTTTTGGAAATAAAGACCCATACGATTGGTGAGACCTGTTTGGTTGCAAGATTTAGCTAGTATTTAGGCTAAATTTGCCAAACAGTTTTGTGAGCCACATAATTTTACTATTTTCGTAGATATCTTTTTTCTTTCATTTTAGATTAAATCTCAGATTTAGGTTCTGTTTGGCTGTAAGTAGGATTTAACACAACAGGTTTTAGCAAATTCTATTAATCTGAATTTACTAAATCCCGAGGGTGTTAAATCCTGAAAAATTGTTTGGCATAACAGACCTGCTGAATCCTGTCAAACTGTTTGGTAATGCAATTCAGGATTTAAACTGGCTAATTCAAATAAGATTTACGCATAAGAAATTATAATGAAGTAAGAATAGTTCGTACAAATACACCTAATCATCAAATCAAAATAAAGCTACATGGCAGCAAGAGCATCATATCCGATAAGATGAAAAGACAATTAATTATCAATATTTTACTTTTTTTGGCAGTTTAAACATAGCGTGCACCTCAAACTGATCAACGTTTTTGAGTCATTGCATGGGAGTGGATTAATACATTAACAAATTACTGCCAGAATTTGAAATTAATTTTTTTGCCTAATAAAATAAAAATCTTCTGCCTGCTTCTCACCAGTTGGTGATGATAACATGCCTCACTGCATCACCTTTAATTATCTTTCCAACTATTGAGTGCATGTTAGGGCCTTCATCATTGAATTGTACCTTACCAAAATCATTGTAATGCTGTTTTATAATTTGAGTCATATTGAAATATTGATCGTGCCTTTGGTGGTGGCTAATGAAGTTGTGCAACAATGCACAAGCAAGAACAATATGTGCCTAAATCATTGAAGGAATTTGTATGTGATTTAAAGCTTGGAATCTACCTTTCCAAATGCTAAACGTTCTTTCCATTATATTGCGTAGTTGTGTGTGATGATGATTGTACAACTTTTATTTGATTGAGTACTTGTGAGCCATGACAATCACTCAAATGATATCAACATCTTCTGAATGGTGCCATTAGTTTATTGGTGTTAGCGTAGCTAAAATCAACCAAGTAATATGTACCACTTGGCACTCTAAACTCCCCTCATCCATAGGTCGCAACAACTTGATATAAGCCGCAAACCCCATTCAACCAAATATGACATAGATGTATTGCCGATCAAATGAGGCCATTGCACTAACATTTTGAAAAGTCAATTCTTTTCAATTGCAGTATTTTGCAATTATTTGTTAAAAACTGCATGGATGTGGGTACTATCTATAGCTCCAATTGCATTTTGGAAGTTGGATGGAATTGTGGGTTCAATCTTATGAATGGATGATAGTCGGCTTTCACGGATGGCAAATTAATGAACTCCCCAACTAAAGAAACTATCAATTATATCACCAAATTGAAGTATCAACTCACTATTTCAAGGGAGTGCTAGAAAATTTCATGATTTTGTTTGTAGCTATGTGCATGTACAACCCCTTTAAGGAAAATATCTAATTGTTCATTTGCTATTATATGCCTCATGTCACTTAACAAGCTGAGACTAACTAATAACTCCTTTTGTTGCAAGAATGTTTATGCTGGAAGCCTAAAATAGTTATAGAACCACAATGGATTCCTTGAAATTACATCATCTACAAGCTATTGGCTAGTTTATAAGACCTATTGAACACATGCCTTTGCATGCGTAGCTCCTCATCCGACGTATTACTATCCTTAGACAAAATTAATTTACCAATAGCTTTATTACGATCTAAGTGCTCATCAACCTTGTTGGAAATTTCATTGGAAAGTTTACCACAGATAATTAGCCATTACTAAGCAAGACAAAATTGAAATTTGATCATTAAAAGGAGAAATGCTTTTTACAATAACAAATGATTATATTAGCTTAATCTCAATAAATAACATAAGGAACAAACAGTTGTTGAACAAATACTGAAAAAATATACCACTAATCTTATTTAGTGATATACTTTTTTTAAGTATTATATATATATTAATTACGACAAACAAATTGGAGAAGCATAAAAGTGAGGATAGTGGCTGAGCATGTTTTCGATTTAGTTACGCAACAACACTTCATCCAGTGTTACCTATCTTGCATGAGAGCTTCATGGACAACATGTGTGTGGCTTTCATTGATATACTCTCCATTGTGCTTAGCTTCATAAAGCATTTAGACATTGTGTCTTGGCAATGTCCATCTATTCTCTCCCCAAACATCTTTGCATTTTTGTTATTTCAAACTAATAATTTGTTCAAGGTCTCCTTATTTGATTTTTCTGTTGTTGTACCATTAAGTCCTACCTACATCCTCACTAGATCTCTTGCTTCGACTCATGGGTACTATACCTGGCCGGGCCTCAATCTCCTCAGCTAGATATATATCAGCCTATGGCTCAGTGTCATACATATTGTTATCAAAACTCACCATATTTGTGGGCATGAAATCATCATCAATTGGTTCAATCTTGTCTAACTCTTGTTGGTTCCTAATATTTATTGTCCTCGTGTATCATGGTGACATTCCTAATATGATGTTGTTGCCTCAAATCTTCTTGAAAATATTATATTGGTGGAAATGATTTCTATGGAACCGTGCCAATTTTGGGGTATCCTAGAAAACAGGAAAAATTTGGATTAACGATTAACATAATTCATTCACATTCAATACCAATGCGACAATACCAAGTTATTACATTGTACCTGTATGATCTCATCACAATTTTCAACACTTACTATAGGTATGTGCATATCTTCATCCCATCCCCAACCACTTTGATATGAGTGTTGATGTATTTATTATTCGGAAGTCCTTTTTCTTGTTATTAAATCGTGTCATGATAACGGCTTCTGTGTAGTTCGTAGCTTCTTTTTTATTTAATGCATTCATAACCTGGACCATGATTTCCTCTTCAACAAGATATTTGAAATATTTCTGCATAGGTATTGCTCCATGAGTGGTGAGGCCTGCATGCCTTAAGGCACAGTGTTGGCCATTAGAAGAGAAACATAAAATTAAGTTAATTGTTGCAATGATGAGGATGCTCAGGTGAATGAGCAGTTTTATACTTAGAGATAGAATGTAAAATTAGTATATACGTGAGAAGGTTGGAGCAGCTATAGTGGCAGGTAAGATTAGAGAGAGTTCTGGATGATTTGGTCACATAAAACATCAACCTTCCAGTGACCCTGTTAAGAGAGTAATTATATTAGATCCTACCTATGTTAAGAACGATAGAGATATACCTAAAAAGAATTGGTTAGAAAGTGCTAAAAATGTCATTTTTTATTAGATTTAAATGAGAATTTGACTCTTAATATCATACAATGGAGAAAAATGTTTCTTGTAACCGATCCCACATAGTGGCATAAAGGCTTGTTGTTGTTATGGGTATTGCTCCATGAGTAACTCGACTAACACAACATTATATTGCTTAGGTCACGTCGGAGTTCTTCTTATGCACTTTGGTTTACTAGTATGGTGATCACTTCTTCATCATGACATGGTAGAGAGCTTGACCTGCCACATTGCAGAGCCTTTTCTTTCAAAAATCTTTTCATCCTCGCTGTGTAATAGATACTATTTATACCCAAAAACTTCTGCCAACAGGTTGCTTAATTAAATATTAGTGTGGTAATGTAAATATACCATTGCAATTCTCAGTTTTCCTACGTTGTTGGTCAATTTAACTACAATATATATAGTTGATTTTTAAGGACTTCTTATGACTGAAGTTGCCTAAATTGCCAAATGCATTGGGTTCACAATTTTTTTCATTGATTGTCCAAAAGACATCAGTGTTTGATTGCCATTATTTGATTTTCCCTTATCTTTCATTGTTTGCTTATGGTTGACTATTTTTTTTCCTAATGTGCAACGAAATTGTTAGCACTCGTAACATCCTCCGAGTTAGTTTTGTGCAAATTTGCCTAATTTTGAAACTATATTACGATTTAAATGTTTTTATGGTTGGACAATTCAAAATCTGAAATTTAATTTCAAATTTTTAATATTTGGAGAGAAGGGAAAAGTTTGAATTTGAATCTTTTTCAATTAAAGGAGGGAGGAAGGGTGGGCCAACTCCTTGATGGAGATTTAATTGTGTGATTAAGAGAGGTTACTTAGTTTGAAAATTTAAATTAGGAAAGGGGATTTAGAGTATCTCCTTTTTAAAATTTAAATTAATTTGAATGGTGGGGCCTTTCCTAATTTAACCCATCTATTTTATGAAAATAGTATCAAATTTTAAAGAATTTAAAATCTGATTTGAAAATTTCGATTTTAAATTCGGAGGGAAGCAAATTCAAAATCTCTGAAATTAATTTCAGCCAAAAGGGTGGAGCTAATTAAAGAACATTGGAGGAGATTCGGGGATTTAATTGAGTTTCCAATCTAAGTCAATTTAAACTAGGAAAGAGAATTTAATACAAATTATCTCTCCAATTTAAATTCAAATTTAAAAGGCCTTGATTGGAGGGACTTTCTTAATATAACTCATCCTATTTTAGAAAAGAAATTTCAAATTCCAATAGATTGGAATCTGAATTTGAAAATTCTTCCTAATTTAAAATGCGTTATTAATGTAAAGCTTCAATTTGGGGATTCTCATTTGGAGGGAAAGGGTTTTAGGGTTTGAGCTGATGACTAGGAAGAGGAGGGGTTTTGAACTGGTGGTTGGGAGGAGGAGAGGAGTGGTTTTGGGTATGGGGAGGGGGGGGGGAGGGGGGGAGTGACGAAGAAGATAAACCACGAGCTCGTACGCTTCTTGCGGATGATGAGTAATGCTGTTGCCCTCACCTAGGGACTTCAAACCATGAGCCCGGACGCTTCCTGTGCTTGTGGGTAGCACGTTTCCCTCACCTAGGGACTTCAACTCTCATAAGAACTCTCAAAACACTTAAGAACAAGAGTGCATAATTTTTTTCTTAATAATCATCCATCCCCTCAAAAGAAGAGGAGGGGGGCTATAAATAGCCAAAATATAATAATAAGACAAATGACTAAAGTGCCCCCTGGGATCACATATGCCTACTCTCTCAAGTGAGAGTAAAAATGCATAAAATAACTAAAATACAAATAATAACTCAAAATAAAATGGTACAATCATGGTCGTTTATCTGCGGCTCCTCTGATAAACTTTCACAGTCAGATGTCCTCATCAATTTTACTAATTAGAATTTATTCACATACATTAACATATAACATGTGGCAATACAAAATCATAGTTAGCATTTACAGAAGCCTTACATAGCCAACAAATTTGAAAGAAAGAATTAATTAGTAAGCTTTATCTTACAACAAAAAATTCTGTTATCTCAATATGATGGCAATATGTATTACTTGAATATTGACATATTGGGACTGAACCAACAATGTAAAAAAAATTGATGATGAATCCGCAGGAGTGGAGATTTTTCTTAGAATGGAAATGAATTGATCAATGAAAAAGTGGCAGCACTCGCTACAAATGTTTGATGTTACTGGCACGTGGCACTGCTATCTCATGTTACCGTTTTACGAATTTACAAATTGATATAGTAACTGTTTTTATTTAACCCCTGACCAAGATATATCTATTTATCACTCTTCTTTCCTGCTGTGCTCCAACAGATCCAGGTCTTACTACAGGATTGTTACATTGAGTTTGTTTGTCTGTGCTATCCATTTTCATGCCATCTTGTTTTTCTTTCAAGTTGACCTTAAGCAGGTGTTGCCTTTCTCTTAATGTACTTGCTCAAGCTTTGTATGAAAAAAACATGTTCTGCATATGGCTATAGATATATTAACTTATTTATTGGTATTTATATTATTTCTACACACTCTGGTCAGCATGATAGTAGTTGCTGTATTTTCATTTATAAAATATGTCCTTTTCCTCTCTAAAGGTGGCATTCCTCTCTAAAGGTGACATCTTTCTATTCTTGTGTGATTGTTACTTATTAGTACATCAACATGTAAGTTGTTATTTTATGATTTTGAAGAATGGTTGAGGATTATTTATAAGTTTTGTCTTATAATTAGCTTAGTTTAACAACTTTTGTTAATTCATTATTATTTTTATCTGATTTCTACTGCTAAATATATTTTTTTCCATTTTGATAGTACATTTCTGAGGTTGCCTATTTCTAATTTGTCTCATTGAGGTTACAGATGCATGCGAGTCCATTGGAAGCAGAGCAACTTCTTGTCTTCTTAAGTAAATCTCCAATGCCATACCAGTCATGCCGGTTTATTCTAGGTATGCTGATAGTTCAAATTAATGGGATATACATCATATTGCTTAATTTTTGTTGCTTTGTCCGCTCTAAGTAGGTTAAGCTTACAACGTTAGCTTATGCTGTTTAAATATGATTAAACATACAGAAATAACCGCCACTCAATAACTTTTTATGCAAATTGATCTTGTAGCCTTATGCTTTCTCATTTCTTTGGTAAGTTCCTTGTGGGTTTTTTTAGACAGAGCTTGCTTTCTCGTTTCACGAAAAAATTTCTGCCAGTCAGTATACCTTATAATTTTAATCTTAAGAAGAGCTAATTCAACCTTTATACCAATATTTCATGATGTGTTCAATTCTTTTTTAGGTGATTATCTCTCAAGCTATTTTTATTTTAAGTGAAACAGTTATTATCTTGTTTTTTTTTTGAATGATTGTAACTCCATTTGCGATTGGTCTATTATGGCTAAGGCCTTAGTTTTATGACTGAACTCTTCAAATATTTGGCTTTACTTCAAACATGTTTTTTGCCCTATTATCACTCTTTGCTTATCTTCTGTGAGCTAACCTTCTGTTCTATGTGCTTTTGCCAAAAAGGGGAAGAAAAGTATAAAAACAAAGAACAAACTATTTGTCATTGAGTGATACTTCTGTTGCATAGGCTTATCATTACTATTAGCTCTCTTCTCCTCCATCTCGTGTTTATGAAAGCTGTATCTTTTTTGTTTTTTTAAATCTTCTATGTCTTCTATTTCGGCAAAATGCCCGTACTCTTGAGCACATTAGTACAATCATAGTGCTTATCCTAAATAAATGAGATGGGGCTGCTCATCGTATTAACAATCTAATACAACACACTTGTTAACTTTTCAGAAAATTCTCAGATGCCGAATGCACGGTTTCAGGCTGCTTCTGCAATTGGAGATGCTTCTATGAGGGAATGGGGAGTTCTTACGGATGAGAACAAAAGAAATTTAATATTGTGGGGTTTCCATTTTATTCAACATCAGATGATCATCGGTGCTTCTGATTATCTTTAATTTCAATCCTTTTGTTGTTGTAGATATTGCCTCCATTATGCAACAAAACATGCTAGTGCGACTGATGCATATGTACAAGTGAAAGTTTCAGCTGTTGCTGCTCAGCTACTGAAACGAGGCTGGTATGTTTTTGGAAATTATTTGTGGTTCATTTCAAGTGCTATTTATTTCGTGTTGTGTTCTTATTACGATTGGATCAGTTTTTAATTTATTTAACAAAAGATAGCACCCATTATTTTGAATCTTTGACTTTTTCTAAAGGAAAAACTTATACACTAAATTGAGATGCCCCTTTATTGAAAAGATTAGGATTTAACGATCACTGTACATAATAGAAGTAACTATTTGGTAGGACTGACACTCGTTGGAGTTTCATGTGTTTTAACTCATTCTTTTGTTCTCAATTGAAGGTGCATGGCTTCTTCAATATTGGATACTTCTATTGAGGCAGTGTTTATCTTTCAGACATTGGTCAGATGAAATATCTAGCAGTGGTATCAAGTGTATCTTAACTTAGCATAAAATTAAGTGTTGTAGAGATTAGGATGCTTAGGTGGATGAGTGGCTTTACTCTTAGAGACAGAATGCGAAATGAGTAAATACGTGAAAATGTTGGATTGGGGTAGCTCTAGTGGCATATAAGATTAGAGAGAGTCGCCTTAAGATGGTTTGGTCACAAAATGTTGGCTTTTCGATGACCTGGTTAGGAGAGTAGATGCATTAGATTTGACCTATGTTAAGAAAAACTGAGGTAGACCTAAAAAACTTGGTTAGAAGGTATTAGAAGTGATCTTTTTTTTATTAGATTTGAATGAGAATTTGACTCTTAACAGGACAAAATGGATAAAAAGGATTCATGTAGCCAACCCTAAGTAGTGGGATAAATGTTTGATGTTGTTGTTGTAGTATTGAGTCATGCATACATATATAGTTATATGCATGCATATTTTGATTCTCACAAACACACACACACATATACACATATATATAAGGGTGTAATTGAGTTATCTATCTCTTGCTAGGTTCATAAATGAGCTTGCGAGTAAATGAGCCAAGAAGGAAGTCTTTACTAATAATAATAATCGATTCATCTACAGAGCTACTAAAAAAATTTCAAGATTTTATGTTAATCAACAAACTTTATGTTGAGTCGTAGTTGACATATCTCTTAAAACTTTAGCTTATTACAAAAGTGTACAACCAAAATATCAAAACCCAACCCATATTCGGGTTTTACCTTTTCCTTTTCCCTTATGTGAAATAGTATTTATATAATAGAGTATGAATAAAAAGTAATTCAACTAGATAAATAATATAACGACGAAAAAAAATTGTCTTATGATTTTACTTATATTAATATATTAAAATTTCATCTAAAATGATACCTTGATGTAGAACGCGGGGGGGGGGGGGGGGGGGGGGGGGGGGGGGGTATTAAAAATTAAAGATCTAAAATTTCATTTCAGATTTCCCTTAATTAATGGATTTAAATTTGAATTTCAAACAAGAAAAGAAGGGAGGGAAGAGATGAATTAATTATCTTCCTAATTAGGGCCTTTAATTAGGAAGAGGGGAGAGAGGGGCCGGCCAAGGAGAGAGAAAAAGGTGAGTGTCCACATTCAATGCATGTGGACCTTGCATTGAATGTGATTGGAAAATTAAATCTGAATTTAAAATTCAGAATTTGAGAGATTTGAGGGGAGGGGGTCCTAAAATAGGATAATTAATCTAGAAAGATTTTGAAATTCAAATTTATTTGAATTCAAAATAAAAGACTTTCAAAATTAATCATTCACTAGATTAGGAAAGTAATTATGAAGCAATTTGAATTTAGAAATCAAGGGATTGTGGAGGACAGGTCGGCGACTATGGGGAAAGGCTAGATAGGCTAGTGGGTGGGGAAAATGAGCCGGAGCTTTGGGATCCGACAGGGAGGAGGCTAGTGGTGGATGTTGGGCCGTGGGCTAGGGTGGTGGGGAAGCGGATGGGTGGTAGAAAGCCGACGGTTAAAGGAGGAGGGTGGGGGATTAAAAAGAGGAATAATGGAAGAATATGGCCGGTGGAGAAAGAGAGAGGGAAGGAGATAGAGAAAGAAGATAAACCGTGAGCCCGGACACATCCAGCGGCTGACGGGTGATGAGATGCCATCACCTAGGGATTTCAACCACGAGACCGGACACATCCTGCGGTTGGTGAATATTACGCTTCCCTCACATAGGGATCTCACCAAAGTTCTTCCCAAAGAACAGGAGTGCATAAATTTTTTTTATTAATTCATCATTCTCTAACAAGAGCAAGGGCCTCTATATATATGCCTTAAAAGAAACAAAAAGACAACTTTGCCCCTTGGGCTTACATAAGGCAAGACCCTTAAGTAAGAATAAAAATGGAAAATGTATAATTAAATCAAAAATACAATTAATAAACTAAGATAAAAATGGAGGGATTTCGGTCGTCGATCTTCGTCTCTTCCTTTGATTAACGTCCACTGTCGGATGTCTGCATCATTCTGCCGAGGTGGAAAAGAGCTCGACTCTGTCGAGTTTGCATACATGGTGCGCAACCATGCTCTGATATCAAACTGATATAGAACAAAAGGGGTAATAAAAATTAAAGATCTAAAATTCCATCTCAGATTTCTCTTAATTAATGGATTTGAATTTAAAATTCAAATAAGAAAGAAGGGAGGAAGATATGAATTAATTATCTCCTTAATTGGGGCCTTTAATTAGGAATGAAATCATTAGGATAGAGGGGAGAGAGGGGCCGACCAAGTGAGAGGGAAGGATGAGGTGTCTAGGTTCAATGAATGTGAATCAAGCATTAATTGGGATTGGGAATTAAATCTGGAATTAATTTCATATTTGGAGGGATTGGAGGGGCTTCCTAAAATGGATTTATTAATCTAGAAAGGTTTTTGAAATTGAAATCCATTTGAATTCTATTTAAGAAGCTTTCCAAATTAACAATTGACTAATTTAGGAAAGTAATCAAGAGGCTATTTAAATTTGAAATTCAAACTTGTGGATGAGGAGGGGCTGACGGCTTCAAGGAGGGGAAGGGTTTAAGAGAGGGAAATTAATGCTTGCTTGAATTAGAATTTTAAATTAGGAATGATTGATTTAATTTCAACCCTATTTAAAATTCAATAGGCAAGAAGTTAGGAACTTTCCTAAAATAGGGATTCTCATTTTAGGAAACAAATTCAAAATTCAAATTTATTTGAATATGAAATTAAATTGTTCTCAAAATAAGAAGGGCTCAAATAGAAAGGTTTTGAATGCAAGATTTGAATGGGTGGAGCCAAGGGAAGGGGGAGGAGGTGTGGATTTCAGTGGGGAAGGGGAGGGTTGTGGGGAAGGGGTTGCCAGCTAGGACGTGGTGGTGGGGTGGAAGGGTGGTAGAAAACCAGCGGTTAAAGGAGGAGGGTGGGGGATTTAGAGAGAGGAATAATGGAAGAAGATGGCTGGTGGAGAAAGAGAGAGGGAAGGAGATAGGAAAAGAAGATAAACAATGAGCCCGGACACATCCTGCGACTGGTGGGTATTACGCTTTCCTCATATAGGGATCTCACTAAAGTTCTTCCCAAAGAACAAGAGTG